TATAAAATGCCTCTAGCATTCATATTTTCTTAAAATCAGTCCTGTCTATTCGATAAAATCAATATTCTTATAAACTATTCTTTTTCTTTATTTTAACCGATTTCAAATTTGACTGTTAAATAAAGATGACAGAAAATTTAAGTACTTTACTCCTAAGTGACTTTAAATCGGAAGTTCGACATTGCGCTTTTATTAAACGGTTACATAACGACACAACATTACGAAAAGCAGGTACATGTATTTATGGTTTTGCAACGCAAATAATTACTATTAGTTTGAATTAACGTAAAATTTAAAATACGGTTTAATACCATCACGAAGAACTTGTTGGTGTTTTCCCTCAGCTGTTAGGCAAGGTAGCCATTTTTTCGGTTTGACATGGACATTGATGTGTTCCCAGGTAAGAGATGCCTTCTCAACCCCTTTATACACCACAGTGTCAGCAGGTTTCCTGAAAAAAATAACAGACCTATCAATAGGAACCAACCGTACATCAGTTGATAATAATGATAATAAGATTATCAATGCTGATAAGACTTTTAATGATTTGAAAGAATTATGATAATAATGATGTTGACGTTTGTGGTTGTGCTGGTGGTGTAGGTGATATCGACGCAGACGATGATGTTGATGATGATGTTGACGATGACGACGATGATGATGATGATGGTGATAATGATGATAATTCAGATGATGATGATGATGATGATATTGTTGTTGATGATGATAATTGTGGTGATGATGATTTTTATATTATTATTATTATTATTATTATTATTATTATTATTATTATCATCATCATCATCATCATCATCATCATCATCGTTATTATCATCATCATCATCATCATCATCATCATCATCATCATTATTGAGGGCAACAGTATTTTAAAGTTCCTATCCTAAACGGTCTCGTCATTTAGGTCCAGATAAAACGTCAACTTCATATATTTACTTTTGTTTTCATTCCTCAATTTTTTACACAAACTTTTGTTATCATTTCTCACAGATTCTCTGTCCTTCGACCGGAAACTAAAATGATTCCATAATGTGGCTGATCAATACAATGCAGGAGGCCCTCAGTACTGTGCACTATTTCTTAATTAATGTTGTTTTCATTTCTTATATGAAATCACCTTTTTTCTACAGATTTTAATTTTTTACGTTTTGCTTGAGGAAAATATCGTTTATTTATCATTTACTTAGTTTTTCAAATGCAATAAATCAAACATCTACGATTAAGAGAAATTGTATGGTTTTGTATTGCTAATCAACTTTTAAAATTATTGATATATTTAGATAGGACTTAAATGATCATCTTTTTAATTAAAAGGCATATTAAGTCTCAAAAATGCTTAACACATTATTTCTCAAAAACATTTTATATTTGTTGCTTTGATTATTGTTTTAAAAAATATACTCATTTGCCACATGGCTAATCCAGCTTTGTGTTTGGCAATTAGAACAGATGTAGTAATAACACTTTGTTTACATTCTGTTCTTTTTCTGACAAATTATTTCACATTTAGCACTACTTTCTTGAAATGAAAAGCATCTTACATGTTATTAATCAGTGAATACAATGTAAAACAATTATACCCTTCAACAGAATGAAAGTTATTCATTCATGTTCTGCAGGAACTAAAATACGCCTTATTTAAAGTATATAAGAAACAAAAACCACACGTATTTCAGAGGGTATTCCGTGTTATTACACAAACGATATAATATCGATTTCAATATGCTTCTTCCTCCTCAATGATGTTTGAAATTATATAATTACATATAAAAAATCATCACAATCTCTCGGCTTTCGTAAATATCATTGATTTTTAAAATCGTTTTAAAAATACAAATGTACTGCAAATTATTACCCTTTATGGAGTTTTATTCTTTTAATGTATTTAAGCTGAATAAATATAGGTCCATTGTGTTTTTACAGTGGTCGCGTGATAAAATCAGTGATTTGGTTCGATTAAGTTTAAACGAAACAAAAATATAAAACGATATATGGACATAATCTATCAAAGACGGTATTTTGATGTTTTTACAAATTAACCGGTAATAAAACCCGTATGAAAACATGAAAACAATACTGAAAACAGGGAGAGCGTAAATGTTTATTCATGTCATTTAAGTAATTCTGATTTCATAAATCTGATAACAGCAAAATATTAAGCAATATAAATAAATATTTTGACAAATATTTTAACAAGGCCATAGAACTATTAACGCACTTTAAATTATTTTTATCAGCTTACAAAACACCTGCAATACTTTCGTAATATTATATAAAAAAAGTTACGATGCATATTGAAAATATCAGTAATAATAACATAAGACGGAGTGAAACTGATATTTAGCGGACTTATTTGCCAAGCTGATTTATCCGAAAACTAGTTCAGTATTATCAAGAGTTTAAAGGTTCACCTTCAATTTGATTTAAACGTGACCGAATAATATAAAAAATATTTCCTCATGAAGTTGCTTTGTACGAGGAACAAAGAAGATTGGCAAAGGGGCAATAGTATAATACCGATCACGTCCATTGACCTATTTTTGTGACAGTCTTACTTAAATCCGACCTTTAAGTATTTTAATTATGTTTATCCTCCATTTGTAAATCTTCAGATATAGTGTCTTATTACGCTTAATATCTTAAAATGGACTTATCCGTCTTTCAATCTGGATCAAAAAAATTCATAACTTTAAAAAAAAGAGAAAAATTATGTACTGAATAGAGAACAGTACACACTTTGGTCAGACTATGGAATAATCAATTGATGTGCTGTGCTGTGCTGGTTGATATTTGCCTGCACAGCACTGGTCGCATGGTAATCAACAAGTTCCGTTTAATAATTCCCAAAAAAGCTAGCCGAGTATAAAGAGTCTTTCTTGAGCTATAGAGCTATTGTTACTTGTTTTAAAGTAAATATTACATATATTGTTTACCCGATAGGTGCATACACATTCAATTTGGTTTCGTATATGAAGATAGTATTTCAATTCTATATTATATAGGTATCCCGACAAAAACATGGCGCATGGTGTGCCCCGTAGGCGCCCTTTTCTGAGGTCTTTTGTCGTCCATTTTGTTATCATGTGGTATTAAATTATGCGTTTTAATTGGCTCAGGACAGGCGGTTTTCGGATAGAAATGGTCGCATCTTGTTAAAATGGTTATGAATTTTTAAACAGTCTGCTTTCCAAATATCTGAACAAATTGTAATGATAAAATTGACCCTTCATTTACAGTAGACAGTTTTTTATTCTTAAAAAAGTTTGTATTTCAATTACATACTGTAAATTTGTTAAATGACCTAGCATGCCATATTTTGAAAGTTTAAGTATTGTTTAACCGGACGAAAATAAGCTATTACTAGCGGTTTATTGCTGTATCGTTAATACAACCAAAGCTAGTATGTAGAATTTGCTACCCTCTCATATAGGTTGCCATATGTTTTAAACAATTATGGGTTTATTTATTACGGCCGCAGTTCTTTGGTCTGTTACTGGGCATTATTCATCTACGGTGTGACTCAGCGGCAAAAACTCTGTGGATTTTTTTTGTCCAAGATAGTGGAATGCTACATTAACAGCCTTGTTCATTTATATACGCATTTAGAGATAATGTCATAGGTCTTTATAAACAGAAAATAATCACAAACGTCATATTGCTCAGCATATAATCAATAAATAAAGACAAATCATTCGTTTATCTAATATTTTATTAACTTCAAAATAAATATCATTTCACATAGCTCAATTAAACGGAAACAAATAAAGATACTTTGGTACCAAAACAAATGACAAACGAAATGAAGCAAAAATACACGCATGGCAATCTTTCTTTCTAAAGGCATTGTTTCTTCTCGGTACTGTCTACATATTAAGCGTGTCTAAGATTTTGATATTTTGTGTTGATTATGGTTTCAATAAACAAAACTATTTTCAATGAAATAGTATTTGAAATCAAAATCAATAGAACTCTACATGAAATACTTTCTGCATACCAGTCTGAGGTACCAGGGTGCCATAGCCTTAAATATTAGAGACATAAATCTAAAATGAAAGATGTCGATTTATAAATCGCATCACGAATAGTTTGGAAAACAACTGAAAATAGTTGGTATACTGAGTATAGGGGCACAGGTCCTAAACGTGTTGAATTGAAACGAAACATTCTTATTTAGTATCAACACATATTTTTTTTAATTTCTTGCTTAGTAACATGTTTTATATACTTTAACATTATACATGTACATATTATCATACACAGGACAAATTTTAGGAACCGCCTGGTTACCCCAATAGTAAGACCGTTGGATTGTGAATCGGGCGACCCTAGCTCGATTCCCGAACGATGCAGGTCACTTTTGTTGTAAATGATCATTTCTTCGATCATTCACACTGTACCTCTGGTCTGGCATGTACAGAAGCTGCGAAAATGAAGACAACTAGTATTGGTAAACTGCTTGATACCCTGCCCAGGGACAATGCAGTGGATGAACTGTGGTCTGGTGAATTCAATATGGCTCCCTGTCAAGTTCCAGAGGGTAAACTACCAGCACCGCCACACAAATTTCAAGTGTTTTTAGGATTTTATTTTTTTTTTTGCAAATTAATATGTTTCATATGTTTATTTAAGTTCTACATCTATCTTACACACATAGCCTTGCCAACATAAGCAGTTTGTCTTCATATTAAGTTTTCATATTTATTAAGTTTAGTTTGTGTGGAATAATTTCAGTAATGAAGCCATTTATCTATCATACACCCAGGAAAAAAAGTGAACAGTAAACAAAAATCACTTTTAATCAAAGTCAGTCCCAATACTATGTTTGTATAACGCATATAACGTCACGTAAAAAAACATATGCACGACCATACCTTTTCGTTTTTATGCAGTCGAAAAAAACTGGTAAATAAATAGGTTTGTGGTAAATACAGGTATGTTGTAAATACAGGTATGTTGTAAATACAGGTAAATACAGGTGCGTATTTTGCTCTGTATGCAACACTGAATTCAAATGTATATACACGCAGTCTTTGTTTCTGCTTTAATAACAATTTTGGTAAAACTACAAAATTTGTCGTCTGTCTTTGTTGAAAGTCATTTATTTTGCTCGTCTTGCTTTAACAAACAATATAATGTAGGCAATCAGACGATACACGAACAGTAATCCTATCAGAAGACCTATGTTTAACCAGAACTTGCCCTGTAATATATAGAAAATTACAAAATTCATTAATGAACTGGTTGGTTGGGTGGGTTGTTAGGTTGTTTGTTTGGTTGATTTGTTGGTTGGTTAGGTGGTTGGATGATGGTTTGGTTTGTTGATTTGTTGGTTGGTTATTGATTGGAAAGATGATTGGTTGATTGATTGATTAGTTAGTTGATTGATTGATTGATTTGTTGCTTGGTTGGTTGGTTAGAAGGTAGGTAGGTAGCTTGTTTGTTGATTGGGTGGTTGGTTGGTTGATTGGCTGCCTGGCTGGTTGGTTAGTTGGGTGGGTTGGTTGGTTGGTTGGTTAGTTAGATAAAAAGGCAGAGCAAAAACTCGATTTTATAAGTCACAAATATACATACTTGTTAAAATGTACACATTTACTAAACGGACATATAGATGAAAGAAAATTAAACTAATATTATAAATGAATTTATAAAATGAATATATAACACCAATGCAAAAATAATATACATAATTCATAAATGTATACTTATCTAGTTATCTTTATACTGGGAACATTTTGTATGTTTTGTACGTATATTACGATAAATAACAAGAAATGGCTCGAACTAAACTCATTGATGAATGTATTTATCGAAATCGGAGTAAATTTTGATTTTTTCAGTATAAAATGATTGATTTTGCTTACGTCATCAAAGTTTAAGTAGTCGATAACTTGCTGGCCATTTCTGTACAAACATCTACTGCTACCGGAGCCACCTTCACAAGCTGTAAAAAAATAACAAGAACAAATATTTGTGAGTACCTTAAAGTTAAATTGCCATGGTTTGAATTTTTAATTATTATAAATAAATGTAACACTTTCTCTGCCTACATCAACCTATTCTAACCAAGCGACCAGTGCAGACCAAGGTCAGCCTAGACATTTTTTCCATTTCATTTTTAAGCGGGCAGAGCTAGGGATTAATAAAATACATATTTACTAAAGATTCTACATTTGCTTTGGGTAAATAAAACCAGAAGTCAAATATAAAAGCACAAAAGCTTTCTTAGTGAAATGACTGTCCATAAATTCTATTAAATACAAGGTACTACTTTTATTCCAAAATGAAAACAAAAAGGGACAAAAAAAAAACACACGAAAAGCTCTGCAAAAGCACGAAAAGTTCTGAAAAAGATTCAAACTACTTACGTATAGTGTCAATATTTTCCCATTGGTTTACAACTAAAAGTTCGTTTGCGTATCGGAACCAGGAAACGTATTCTAACCATATAAAGTACACCGGATTAGTGCTGAAGTACAGAAAATGACAGATAATGGATGATCTTTAATTATTGTCATTATTATTATTATTATCATTATTATTATTATTATTATTATTATTATTATTATTATTATTATTATTATTGGTTTGAAGCAGACGTATCTTTTACTCTATAAAATCAATGAATAAATGTTGAAACTTGGTCTTTATTCACAGGGTGATTTTTATTCACAGGTGGTCTTCAACACAAGTTTGACTGTAAAGGTTATTACTAACCTTGTATTTACAAAGAAACCGCCAAACATGAACAGTGGCATCATCATAGGTGGCGCCAGCGCTAGTGCCATACTAACGGAATTTGACATCGTCGACACTATATAACCTGTGTATGAAAAAAAAATATTGTCATCACATCTTAGTCAAAATAATAATAATAATAATAAAAATAATAATAATAATAATAATAATAATAATTATAATAATAATAATAATAATAATAATAATAATAATTATAATAATAATAATAATAATTATAATTATAATAATATAATAAATGAATAAATAAATAAAATGTTGGAGGGGTCGAACTCCCAACCGCTATTGTGGTGGAGTTTTATCGTGTCACCGCCAAAATAAGTGCCTAGGTGAATGCACGCCCTATTTACAACGAACTATGTTATTTTGGAACTAAACATAAACGGTTAATCCTCACTTTAACATAAACGGTTAATCTTCACTTTAACATAAACGGTTAATCTTCACTTGAACAGTATTATAATATTTCATTTGTGTAGTAATAAAATATGGGATACCCGGTATACCAACTTTGTTACCACTGAAAATATTTTTTTTAGTAATTAGCTATTCAAAAATCAATGTTTGATAGTTTTTTTTAGGTTTAATAGGGTTTTTTTTACTCTGCGGGGTATATCATGGTTCATGATATTAAAGATTTAATCAGAAATTATCAATAAAATCTTTAATCCATACCTACAACCGCGATGATGATTTTGAGCGTACAGTGCATGAAAGATGTGGTAAAAAAGTTTAATTGTTCGACGGTATATAAAACAAATTTACAATTAAATGATTTTATCACAGTATCTTTTTTATTTATGTCTCAGATATACATCAAAATATGTCTCAAATGTTCAAAATTGCTATCAAAACTTTAATAATTATGAATGGTTTAATGGACATACAAAATATATAAATGATTGAACGACCGAACGCATGCACTAACGAACAAAGAAACGTATGAGCGAAAGAAGAAAAGAACAATGGACTCGCGAATTAGTCACTCAAATGAAATGCACTTGGCAGAAACAAACATGGCATTCAAGATATACTTGATAATTTTGTGACGAAAATTGTTCATCAACAAATTTCAAAAATACTGTCATATGAGGGTTTTTCAAATAGAAAGACTCTGCTCATATGTTATAAAAACATTTTATTTTAGGTACACATGCACTTTGTGTTACAAGATATTAAAATACAATTTAATTTAAATACTTTAAAATGCAAGATTTTTAACAGACAAATTGTGTTGTCCGAATATGGAGATAGTTATTTGATATTTCTTCCGTTGATAGTATTAGTTATAAAATCTTTTTACAGTTGCTACAATACACAATTAGTTTCTTTGGTGTAAAAAATAAAAGAAAAGGTTAAAAAATTATCAGCAGTTTTGTTTAACAGATATTATATAAGTCACAAATGACCTATAAAAATACGTCCTGCAAGTCTTTAGATATAACGTCAAAAAACGCCTTATCTCATAATAAACTTTGTGGACAAAAGAAAACTTAAGGACATACCATAAGAAACTGCCACATTCGCCACAAGTAAAAGTACAGCAGAAAATATCAGGAATGCTTTAAGAGATGAAAATAGTCCTGAAATAGAAGGTAAAATGGTTACATGTTCCAGAATCAATGAAAAGGAACAACTTAAGGCTTCTCATCGTGGGATTTATAGCAATGGACACCAGTTTTGCTTGCTTCCCCAGTAAAGGCCTAATACATACATTGAAACGTTTGAATAATTTTAAAGCACCAAGAGATCAAAGAATAACTAGATTTTAACTTTTACTTAACAATATGGTACTTTACGGCGTTAAAATTGATCAACTATACTTACCAATCATCCAGTAACATATTCCACAGAATGCTATTGGTATAAAAATGAACGATGGTAACTGAAATGAATATGGGATAACTCGTATGGATCTAAGCAAAGTCTTTTTAAAGGGGTTTCATTAAGGTAGTGCGATTCTTTTCTCTCGAATTTTAAATTAAATTTAAAACAAATAGTTTAAAGGAAGAGTAATGAAATTTTCCACGTGCTGTGTGATGATATCACGATCAAAATTCCATTCATTCATTCATTCATTCATTCATTCATTCATTCATTCATTCATTCATTCATTCATTCATTTATTTATTCATTATTCATTCGTTCATTTATTTTGCAAGAAAGATACATTTAAACGATAAGTTATTTGAAGCTTGAAGCTATAAAACACAAGTTACCTCTGCAAGAACTTTACACATGAAGTAAATGTCCACGCTGTACAGACCCGTGCGATACTCCCGTGAAAATACACCCGACTCTAGAGGAAAAGACTGCAAAAAATAAGAACAATTATATCAGTTTTATCCGGTATCCAATTGGACCTATGGTCATTTTCAGATGCTCGTACATTGGTTACCTTTTCGGGGATTCATATTGTGATAACAGGGAACGTGCTTTTGTTTTTGGATATGATACAAAAGAGAAAGAACATCAAAACACTCGACTCGGGGGCAATCCCCTGTTCAAACCCGATAGCCCCGTGTTTTGATACTCTTTCTATTACATATAGACTACATGATTGTTTAATATAATTATTTATTTCCCTTAACTATTTTACACTCGTATATCGGCAAGTTCGATAAATTATAAAGTTATTCGTTATTTACTAATATTGTTATTTCAGTGCATAAAAAAATAAATTAATGACATACAGATATAATTATAACTGAACTTAAGTCCTCAACGCCAACTTATTTTTAATCAGAATACAGTCAATACACATATAATTGTTTTTTTTTCCCATGTATTCGAGTTTATTTATACATGCCACCGGTTGCCAACATGGGCCTCTACCCCAGAAAACTATTAGTCATTTTAGATTTTGGAGCATAGTGCAAGATACAGATACAGAAAGATACCCCAATTCCAGAAGCTTCTCCTGGCTTAACACGCCAAGTGTTTAAGCACTCATACAAGGGACCTCGATTTAAAGTATTTTCCGGAAGACCGATTAATAATTTTAGTTGGCCAGCCCGGAAATCGAACCCACAATCGGGAATCCAACCCGCAATGTTGAGATTTTTACATATTGAAACTTACACTTAATACTGCAAACATATTCACAAACGTCATGTTTAACAACATCAGATAAAGTACGCCGTTGACGTTCTGTACACCCTCTTGATCAATGTCTAGCTGTAGATACAACAAACCAAGAATCACCGCTAAAACCTGAAAACGAGAAGCGAATAACTGCAATTGTTAATTTTAAGTTTGCTATGATAACTTTTTTATGGCATAAGCATAAAACATAAAATTTGAATTTCTAACATATATATGCCGGGGCACTCAATACTGATAGATATGCCCAAGATAATAAATAAATATATCCAAAATTAATTGAAAAGTATTTTTGTGTTATTGTTATTCTGATTTGAGTGAAAATCGTTACAACGCCTTTCAATTTTGGGTCATTTCACACACCTAAAGTAACTATTCTGGCAAAACGGAGTGAGAGAATGATGTCAAAAAACTCAGTTGAGATCCTTAAAATTGTTTATTTCTTCTCTTATTAGCGACTTACTTATACATGTACAATGTATATAAAATCACGTTCTACACTAATGGCGTCGCTAATAACGTCTGTACAAGGTGGGATACTTACAAGTGTCTGCGCTGTTCGAACCTTGATTACCATTGGATCTCTGAGTGTTGTGCTCCAGGCTCGTCCAAACACAGAACTGAACCGTTGTAACCATGAAGCCTCGTATCTTAAAATTATGTAAACAAACACAATTTACTTTAATTATATTAAATAAACTTGAATGGCTATAATAATTGTTGAAAAGAAATAAAGTTGCTGTCTTGTATTGTAACATTCTTATCCTTTCGAGGGAGAATATCAAATGAACCTATTATTTATAAAAAAAATGCTTATCTTTGAAAAACAGAGCTTATGAAAATGCCTACTCTGTCTATTTCTTTTTTTATTTTATCTAATAACGTACATAACAGTGTGGAAAAACTGATAATAAGTCTATAAACATTATAAGAAAGAAAAGTTATGAGACTGGAACGATTTTTAGATTTCAATTTAAAATGTTCATTAAAGATAAATAATTGCTCGTTTACCTCGATTTGCTGCTAAACGCTTCTTCGTACTGTAAAACAATAACAACAAGAATTTGTTATAAAGGATCTTTTCTAAAGGATAAAAAAAGAAGTTAATAACTTTCAGAAGCAAAGAGTCAAGCCACTGGGTAATGGCGATTTAGAACGCTTAAAAATGACTACGTAAACCCGAAATGATATAGGCTTTATTAACACCTTAGATTTAAGAAAGTTGCCATTTAATCGCAAACAGTGGATATAAATTAGCATGGTGCCTGAGTTATATCATGTTTATTCTTTCAAATTAATTCAGCTATACAACGAAAGAAAAGTATTTTAAATAATCTTGTTTCGTTTTGGTGTGCACGGCAATTTTCGCTATGATTATTACTTGCTAATTGATAAACAGCGTACGCAACCTAATGAAACACAGACATGATGAGTAACGCTAGACGAAAGAAAGACAAATGTGTCTTAAATTAGCTACCATAAGATAAAAAGATGATCAAAAAAAAGCGGTTGTCATTCAAAGAATTCGAATGTAATGGTAATAAAAGGACCTTACAAGATATCATGAATAGCGACAAACAACAAAAAAAAACTTTAAATGTTCTAAATCAGCTACCATAAGATATAAAAGATTATAATAAAAAACGGTATTCATTCGAAGAATGCGATTTTTATTAACGGTAATAGTTATAAATAGACCTTACAATTACACCTGTACGTCTTGGACTTTCGACAACTGATTTATTGTCCTGCAGAATGGTCTTCACGTATGTGGTTTGATAAAATTCATCACAAATTTTCTATAAAAGAATAACAACAACAAAGAAAACAGGAAATAAATGAATAAAAAAAAATGAAAGTAAATACTCTACTGATATCGACACTATAATTCGATAAAACGCAATCACTCCGACACTCCTGACGATAATCTTAGAAAAATAAGCGGAAATGATAATTGAAAAATCGAAAATTGTGTACTTTACGTTCATTTATATCAATAAAGTACTTTTGTTACTAATGTATTTCTATTTACTTGTTTACCGTGCTCAAAACCGACATTTTTATATGGATAAAACGATTTGATTTCAGAAGTATTTCCGATTTATATTTGAGATTTGTTTTCGTCATTTATAAAAGCGCTTATTTATTCAATGAATGTAACTTATACACACCTCAATTCTTTGTTTACATTCAGTTTCACTGCCAGGGACAACAGCCATTGTCATTATGTAAAAGTCGGCGGGGTTAAAGTTCACGGGGCACGGATATCCAATACTGCAATAATAATGTTAAAGTTCACGGGGCACGGATATCCAATACTGCAATAATAATGTTAAAGTTCACGGGGCACGGATATCCAATACTGCAATAATAATAATGTTAAAGTTCACGGGGCACGGATATCCAATACTGCAATAATAATGTTAAAGTTCACGGGGCACGGATATCCAATACTGCAATAATAATGTTAAAGTTCACGGGGCACGGCTATCAAATACTGCAATAATAATGTTAAAGTTCACGGGGCACGGCTATCCAATACTGCAATAATAATGTTAAAGTTCACGGGGCACGGCTATCCAATACTGCAATAATAATGTTATAGTTCACGGGGCACGGCTATCCAATACTGCAATAATAATGTTAAAGTTCACGGGGGCACGGATATCCAATACTGCAATAATAATGTTAAAGTTCACGGGGCACGGATATCCAATACTGCAATAATAATGTTAAAGTTTTACGGGGCACGGATATCCAATACTGCAATAATAATGTTAAAGTTCACGGGGTACGGATATCCAATACTGCAATAATAATGTTAACGTTCACGGGCACGGATATCCAATACTGCAATAATAATGTTAAAGTTCACGGGGCACGGATATCCAATACTGCAATAATAATGTTAAAGTTCACGGGGCACGGATATCCAATTCTGCAATAATAAATTAAAAGTTCACGGGGCACGGATATCTAATACTGCAATAATAATGTTAAAGTTCACGGGGCACGGATATCCAATACTGCAATAATAAATTTAAAGTTCACGGGGCACGGATATCTAATACTGCAATAATAATGTTAAAGTTCACGGGGCACGGATATCAAATACTGCTATAATAATGAAAACGTATTGAAAATAATCTAAATAAAATTGTTTTTTCTTCCTCTTCAGTTAGATAATATACATGTTTGAATATGTTTATGCATTGCACTTTGATATAGATAATTAGATTTATTTGTTAAAGTAACCATATAATCATATAAAAGGTTAAAATTTTCTTTTTAAATATCAAATATGTAAAAGAAAAAAGTTAACCCTTCATAAAAAGTTGTTTATTACACAATTATATATTATGTTATTTATTCAAAAAGATAATCCCTCCCCCACCCCCGCTTGCGATATGCAATACTGGAATGGTTCCTAACTTCTCTATAAAAGAATCGGGAACCAGTGCATACTTACTTGCTATAGAACTTAAGAGCCTCGTCCGTATCACCAAGGAACGCCACTCTTCCCTCCGCAATGACGAGGACACTGAAATGAATTTAGAAAAATCGATTTCAAAAAAATCGGTATTATTGTGGATATAGATTAGCTGGAGACGTTGTGATGACGTCAGTAATACACGGAAATAATAACGAACATGGACCTTTCAAAATGCATCGATATATTGAATATTGCGATAAAATGCCTTTGAAGTAGTAAAGAGTGGAAATCTTAAAATCGCACTCTACCACAATAAATGAACGAATTCGCACACTACTACAAAAGTAAAAGAAATTGGACACTACTACAAAACTGAAAGAAATTGAAAGCTTCGTTTGAATGAGACTGATAATAAACATGTATAAACAGCAGCGGGTTTACTTCCGTTGAAGCCCCACTCACTAGTCCAGCGTTCTTTTCTTGACACCTTGGTCTGCTGTAGCTCAAGCACGAAACACGACTAGTCCTTTACAGGCAAAACATCTTCGCAAGATTCAAAATGTAGACTTTCATCAACAAAAAGAAAAACGTTTTGAAAAGTAAAAAAGATGGTAAGTCTTACTGGTCAAACAATGCAAACACTTCTGAGGAAGGTTGGTGGATCGAGCACAGTACTGTTTTGCCTTTCTGCGCCATTTCTTTCAGAGTCTGCACAATACTTTCTGCCATGAATGAATCTAAACCGGAAGTAGGTTCGTCACAGAATAATAAAGGAGGGTTTGTTAAGATCTGAAATAATCAATATAACAGAAAATAAAGAAAATACAGAAATAAATATAAAGAATATTTTGATGTTGACTTTGAGGATTGGGTACGTTTTGTTATCGTCATCATCATCATCATCATCGTCATTTTTATCTCATAACCACAAAATCAGAATTCTCGCGTGCCCCTCAGTTCCTCACATCTGTACTTCCTTACATTTAATATACACGAGTACAATCTATTAAAATTTCTTAAAATTTCACTCACCTCCGATGCGAAAGAAAGCCTCTTCATTTCTCCCCCGGAAATTCCCTTTGTTTTCTCCCAGGATCCCAATGATGTTTTTTGACTTTTTTGCTTGGTCCAATTTAAAATATAACCTCATCCCCCACGCCCCTATGTTTTTTTTTGGTTACTTTTTTCTCCACCCTTAAACCCAAACCCCTATAAATAAGTCATTTATCATTTCCATAGTCTATTTTCATTTTTAAATTCTTTTATTTTTTTTGATAAAATATCATTTTTTATGTTTTTTTTGGAAGTTCTTTCATTTAAAAAGGCCGAGATATGAGCACGACCAAAACCCTTGGCTCGCTGTTTTTTTTTTCCCCCCAAACCACCTTTGCGCCTTCTCTTACACTCATTACTTACAAAGCTATAAGAAGATTTTATATGTATAGGTTCGAGGTTATATACAGAGTTTTAAGAAATTAATTTTCGAGGGAACGAAGTGAAATAAAAATGAACGATTATTTTATACTATTTCATGGTAAAAGTAAATCGATATCGCTTTGAGGCTTTGCACTTTTCATATTAACTTACCCTGAACGTAAGATGTTCCTTCACTGTCATTGTGGCTATGAAATGATCATTTTGTTGGACATATGCAGATATATTGCGTATGCCATTACCTACGTCAACTCCATTAACCATGACGTCACCTGACGTCACTATATCGCGATCGGTATTAGAAGCTAGGGCGTTTAGCAGCATGGTCTTCCCTGACCCACTATAATTCAAAATAAAAAGAAAAGAATGAATGGAATGGCTTGGTGCTTATACGTAATAACATTGTTCATTTATAGGCACCTACATCTAAGTTATGCTTACGTAACAACTCAATGCATGTGAAGAACATGCAACTATAAAATCATGCCTGTTAGACACTCGTCAGAGAAAATGAACAGCTGAATAATTTACATATCTTGCAACGTGGCATAATTATTCATAAACTTCCATTATCAAAAAACCCCGATCAGACCGAAAGTGAAAATTAAAATATGCTCAGAAAATCTGAAAGGTCTCATATTAATCGAATCCGCTGACCTTCACCTAAAGGCCACAAACAAGACTTATACCTGCTTAAATGAGACGCTTAAACCTTTCCAGCGAAACCAGTCGCAGTAGTGTTGGCCTTATAATAAGGACTTACTGACCGTTTGAAGATGGCTGAAGACTTTTTTTTAGATTTAAATGTAGGAACATTTATAGATATATACAAGCGGCTAACTTACCTCGCTCCAATTATTGCAAGAAGGGTCCCGGGCTTTACGTGACCATACGCTGTAAAGATAATTAGTATACAAATACATGTACTATAAAAAAAAAGCAGAGAGACGAATTACATTTCAATTGAATATAAATACAAATATGGTGTTGTGTAATACGCATCCAGTTCATGGTTCATATTAAAATTTATGCGTATTTTCGTCAGAATGAATGCGTTTTTTTCTGATTTATGTTAATGTACATATAGTGTTTAAAAAAGTAAAATTGTTTCTGATTTACTTCAGTGTACATATAATTGTTTATAAATTGTTGTTGTTTATTTATTTATTTATTTTAATTTATATATTTATTTTGTTGTTATTTTCTTAGATGTCATCGAAATATATTGACAGATGTTCTTATAGGAGGCTTAAAATGACGACATAAGATTGAATAAGAGCTTTCCAAAATAAATCTCATACTTTCACAATTGCATCGTGCTATATGTGTATAATAAAATAGGGTACTGTTGAGTAATAGAAACCATTCTAGTGGAATTGAACATTAATTAATTTGCCTTTCTACTACATAATGACTTTTACAAAATATTGTACGTTTCCTATATACAAGATATTGAATAATAAAACTTTTATTATACCATTTTTAATGATGTGTTTCGGTCCCTCTGTGACGTCATTGCCCCGGCAGCACGTTTTGGTTTTGGGGTCAATACTGACATTTACATTTTCCCACGACAGTACCACTGTTTCTGTAGAATCTATAAGTGCATGATGTTCCTCTGTCCTAAAACAACAATTTATTTATATATTTATAAACAATATGTTATATGTAAGTGATTTTTTTTTTAAATTTCTTCCATATGTTTGTTTCCTTTTTTGTCACGTTATCGTCGTTTATTAAAGAGTACTTGGGAGGGAAGGAAATTAGAACAACTTGCAACCGTTTAAACTTTATTTGATGTTATTCAGTCCAATTCACTTATTAAGCGACTAGAAAATTTTAAAACCTACTTGGGTAGAAGATCATTATATGATGGACCTACTTGGCTTAAGGAATTATCATATGAACAACACTAGAAAATATATAGTCACTAAGGAACCCATCCCCATTTTTTCTCGTAAAGAAAAACTTTAAAACATTTTAAAAAAGCTTTTTAAAAAAGTTGAACAACCTAAACTTGTGTGTCGAACAGACTGCATAGTAGTGAAAATATGGCCGGGATCTGCGTTATTAGCTGGCTAATACTTTACAAATTATCATGGAAATACCCTTTGGTTTTTGTAGCCGAGATAAAAAAAATAATATGACTAATATTGCAGTATAAACAAAAACCTTGTCAACTAATTTCTTTTCAACCGTGTGCGGCTTTATGAAGAAAATAAAAAATACTTTTTACTATAACTTCATATTCTAATATAATATTTGAAATTAAACAGAAAGAACACCTACCTTACGCTAAGAACGTGTTCTTTACCATGTCGGGCGACTCCATTGGACGAACCGTCCCAACTTTTTATCCCATTTGCTTCTACGTTGATTTTGTTCACAGGCATATTTAAGTATAAAACTTTCCTTTATATATTTTAAATAATCCCATATTTTCAACAACAAAAAAGATTCTTCATTGTTTCAGAAATCCAAATGCATTATATCAATACGTTTTGAAAATTTTGATGATAGAATTTGCGAGTTCGATTAATAGAATATTATCTTTTCTAAATATCAAACTCATTCGAACAATTAAAACGAAAATCTCATTTTAATTAAGAGAAAAAAAAAACGAAATAATACACAACGAAATATGGCCGAATTTTATCTTTCTTTGATTTATTGTCGTAACAATCATTCCGTCATAATTCAAATCTCACTAAGTATTTAAACATACAATTTACTTTATCAATATACTTAAATTAATGATACAAACTACATTTGTACTACATTTTGTGATATTAAAAACACTTCTTTCATAAAATACAATGCCCTTTGGTTCAGATTACAAATAAGTTGAAATAACAAGCAGACCAATATTTTTGTTAAATTATGCTTGAGTTACGTTTCGCTTTGATAGCGGATTAACTATATCCGTAATGTGGAACATTGTGTAAAAAATATGGAATAGTTTGCAAGATGTTTTAAGTATAACAATAAATAAACTATTTCACTATGCACTGGTTTCAAGTGAAGTCAATTTTTTTATATCATTAATTGTGTTCATAACAACGATGCCGTGTTCCAGCATCTATTGTAAACATATAGAATCTTTGTGTATACAAAGGGCAGGTAATCCAGACTGCGGAAGAGTTCTTTAAAGGGACTCCGCGGAGGGTTTTTTTTTTTGACATAACGAGACTGGAAATAGTTTAAATTGTTCCATTTGATGTAGGTCAAGACCAATAACTTGTGTGCACACATTCATATAATTCACTCATTCAAAAAAAAACAACAAAAAAAAAACAATAAAACTTATTATTGCTAAAAAGACCCAAAAGTGAAAGCGTCGCGACAAAAATGGCACAATAATATAATTTTCAGTTTTATTTTATCTATTGCAAGTGCCCCAGCTGATCTACGCAAGATATTCAAATTTTATGTTTTTGGAGCTTTCGGACCTCAATGGAGTTCCTTTAATATAGACACGCAGTGGATAACATTGTAAAGTGATTAATGTGCTTGAAGGTTTAGAACCATTTGCCACCTCACCACTCTGGGTTTAAAGCCCACAAGGAACCTTGCATTCTTCATTGTGAGGAACTTATCCAGCTAGCATTTGTTGGGGAGTCTGGGTGTCATGCCTCCCGCTGCTGTTTAAAATAAATGCGCAGAGGGCTTATGAGCGGTTCTCTGGATCGTACATATATATGTATCACTTTTAGCCGCATCCGTAACTGAGATGGATGCACAAATGCATCGGTAAATATGCGGAACATCGACAATTAGCAATATGTCTATCAATGACTATTGACGAGATTAAAGAATATCATCCATTCATATTGGTATACCCTATATATAGGTGAACCCTATATATAGTGATAATGTAAACAATGAACTTCAATGAGATTTTACAAAGATAATACTTAATACATTTGACTGTATAAATACGATCTAGTACAGGTTGAACACCGCCATTTGACCTTGTGTCTTTGCGTGTATTAGGTACGTCACATATGAATATTAATGAGCATAAATGAGTAGCAAAAAAAAAGCAAGTGACAAAACGTGCAAAATCATCGACCTTCACATTTGGCGAGAGCATGCTTCTCTTACCATGTGTATCGAAACATCTCGGCTATTATTATCAATAGTTCTTATCCGAAGTTAACGGAAAGGACCGAAAAGATGCGGTTGTCATTATTTATGGAAGGGATTATCCGCCACTCTAATTACAAATGTAATATGAATACATTGTAACTAATATGAAGACATTCTTATTATTTTTAAGACATTCTTATTGATAGGAAGACATTATTATTATGAAAACATTGTTATTAATATGAAGACATAATTAATACGTTGTAATCATTATGCAATATTAAGATGTTGTACTTGTTGACGTACCTCGAGTTCTTATTAAAATATGCGAAAATTCAATTTACACTTCAGTTCTAAGACTGTAAACAAGCAAACTAAATTAGATATTTAATTTGCTGGCTTTCAAATATTTTTCCTTTAATTGAATTTGCTTTCTAAAATTATTTTGACTTACATTTTATTCTTACAGTGTTTCAGTATTTATTTATGGTAATTTTAGTCCCATGCTGACATTGTGTATTATGTATTCGAAACAGCAGTTTGCATAGCACACTAAGAGTTTCGAAGTATAATTCAAAATTAATTAGGTTTTGCGCTAGAATTGGCCTTTTTAATCAACGGGAAATAACTGGTAAAAATGTAAAAAATAATAATCGCTCCCTGACCGGTGTTCACAAATCTGATACTACGAAACTAATCCGATCATGTGGAGGTTAATGACTACCAAATATTTCCCTCTATATATAACGTATAGTAAAAAGGCCAAGTTTGAGGCAAAATATCTGAAAGTCCGCCGCATACAGTATGCCACATGCATACCTTTTCTGAAAGAACTTCAAAAATGAGTCGATTTGAAGAATAAAAATGATATGTTGCGCATTATGTAAGAGAGAACATGTTCGTTGTTGTTGTATAAAGAGCTAGTAACAGCTTTTTTCATGGCAGGGTATCACGATGTTTGGTCGGATCTTTTCCATGAGGTGATTTTTACGTCCGCACCGAAAAAGATCAGTTAGTATTAAACAGCAACCTCTGTCGTAAGAAAACGCTTTACAAAAATTGGTTCCCCGCTTCGTTTTTTATTTGTTTGGGACGTCAGACCAAACAAATAATGGTAGCGAAATTTATGACTCTAATGCTGTTAATTGCAATTGTCGAAAGTAGTCCGCTTTTTTGAAACGGTTACTTCCCTTTATATGTACACTAACGCCGAAAAATTCAGGGGAGATCACTGCGTAAAGATGGTCAAATGACAGGCGCATTAATTTTCAAGCAAAATAATTCCCGAATGGTCGAAAATTTCTAATATTGTTTTATTCTTTATAGATATACATGCTTATAGTAAGCTCCATAATTATTTACACAAGTGTTAAACAACAGTTAGCGTCGTTACAAACCCTAATTTAGAATATGGTTTTCTTCAGACCGTTATCAATAAAAATTCACCGTGACCGAGAGGTTTGCGCGCTTGCTTGGGAAGCGAGAGGTCTGGAGTTCAAATCCCAGCTAAGGCAACTCATTTTTTTTTTCAAATTGTTTAAGTCAAATAAACATTGGATTGAATATCAGTGTTGCAATTAGTCTTATAACCAATTTACTACAATTAAAACGCTGGAAAGCATTGGCGGCACTATACAAAAACAAATTGGTTTAGAATCTCACAACCTTCACCTTTCTGACATTCTGAGACCCAAACAAATTCAGCGCCTTCTGTGCTTTGATTTGATAACGTCAACATTGTTATGAAGACGAGTCAATGTTAAACAGCATTTTATACTGCGAATGATGTTTCGATTGTTTTGATTAAATGTTGAACATTTTATTACAAATGAATTAACACATATTCGGTAGCGCCCATACACTGAATACCTAATGTTGATTTTAATGTGTGATTTTGAATTAAAATGTATTAAATGTATTTTAAGGGACATCATACCAATTTTCAGAATGAAACAAGAAAATCGTGTATAAAAATAAAGTTAACGTATAACAAAGATATAATAATTATTTCAAAATACCTTTATAATTATAAAGATACGAAGTACACTAAGTCTTGAAAATAACCAAAATCTAACATCAAATTCACTATCGCAAAAGTAAAAACGGAAATTGGATGTCATAAAGCATAATAGGTGAACTGGCGGATAATCCCTTCCATAATTATTGGCCCAATTTTGTTTGAATTCTGAATTATACATTGTTTTATGATTTATTTAGGTTTTCATATAAACTAAACCGATTTTTATCGGTTGAACATTTTATAGATTTTATGACAATAGCTTATTGATCATACAAAAAGAACAGAACTGAATATTTTTTAGATTGTTTAAATGTACTTTTATACTATGAATTTGGCTAACCCTTTTCCCACCAATTAGAAGGTTTGCGTGCAGTCTGACCGGCTATATGGCCCAACCCAACTCAATCTAATCTTATTTCCCAAAGATTAAGGGACAGTTTAAAAAATAAGGTAAAAGGGCCCCTTCAAAATTAGTGGATAGGTTTAAAGGGAAAAAGTAAATTTATAAAAAAATTGCCCAATAAATGAAAAAGTCTTTTTTTTGTGAATCGTCTTTTAAAAAAAGTTCAGTTTTTTATGGGGCTGTTATGGCCTGTCGTATTTTCGCTCCACGGTGCGCCAGGCGAAAACACGAAATATAGCGAAGTGTCGACTTAGTCGTACTTTCGTTTCTTCGGGGTGCAAGGGGAAACGCGATACCAAGACCAGAGCTTCTTGCGCCTCATGAAGCGAAAGTACGACAAAATGGTGACTTTGCCGTATTATCGTGTTTTTGCCCCGTGGAGCAAAGTACGAAAAACGTTGACTGTGGATTATCGTGATTCACCGTTGATCACGTGGAGCGAAAGTATAGCAAAATGTTGACGTCGTATTTTCGTGTTTCCCCAAGAGCGAAAAAAACGCACTGGCACAAATCAGCCCCATATATTATTGATCTGTCTTTCTATATATTCGCTACTACAGTTCTTTTCCCGTTGCAAACGTCATATTCATGTGTACCCAGTCAACCTGATGATCAGTCCGACGCAATTCGCACACCGTGGCTGTCGGACAAAGGGTTGCCCGGGGTTCCAGTTAGATGCAGATAAAGCTTCTCCAGTTTCCCATACCCAAACTCCATTTGTTTTCTGAAGAAGAAAAAATATATATCTACATGTATTCTTGTTCTCGCAATTGTTAACTTTAACTTTAAACCTTACAACGCTTAATATCTTAAATGGACTTGTCAATCTTTCAATCTGGAGCAAACCATTCGTCACTTAAAGGGATCATTTATTAATAAATATATTCACTGTTTGAATTGCAGACGTATGATTATGATCGGCAAAATTCAGTTGCTGCATTAAAATGCATTAATAATGTATACCTGCCACCTTATGAGACAAATGAGCCGCGTCACGACAAAACCAACGTAATGGGTTTGCGACCAGCATGG